GCCCCCGCCTACTCCCCCCCCCCCACACATCCCATGGCCGAGCAGCACAGACAAGTGTCAGGCCATAGTTGGGGTTACTGCGGAGTGCTGAGAGGCCTGCAGCTGTGAGGCAATCCCAGCATCTCCAATCCATGCCTGCAGCTGGCCTCACTGCCTGCAGGAGCAGGTGGTAGCTAGCAGCCATGCTGGTGCAGGGGTAGAACGGCCCTCCCTGAGGGCGGCCATGGGTGTGCCCTCCTTTCCCCGAGGCTGTGATCAGCATGACATGTCACAGCACTGCACCATCTACTTGGCTTCCGCCTGCCCTGCCCTGTGTGTGGAGCAACCCTGAGCTCCTGCTCACAAGTTCTGGGGAGGCCACACATCTCTGAACCCCCAGGGGAGAGAGACCCTCCCAGCACCAACCACCACTGGGAGCAGGCTGGGGACAAGAGCACCTGCCCACCCACACACAGACTGCATATGGGCATGCCTTCATGCTCAAGGCACCACCCTCTCCTGGGGACAGTGCTGTGTGTGTGGCCCCTGATGGAAGCCCAGGCTATTCCAGGCCCCTCTGCCATCCATGGGATCCCAGTGTGGCCAGACACTTCCCTTCCCTGCTTGTCTATGGGACAGGGGTGGGAGTGGTAACCATGGTCCCCTCAGCTCTTTAAGGCCCCTTTGAGGCAGGGCCCACTGTTCAGGCCACACATTGCCTTGCTCCTGGGATGTCACCATCCTCTGTTAGGATTGAAAGTTTTATCCTTTTTATATTTGTATTTTAGGCTTAGTAATGTAAGGTAATATATTTAATATTGTAGTAAGTCAAATCCTTTAGTTAAGTATATATCTCCTATATTTCCTTGTTCTAAAGTTTAGTAAGTAAATAAACAGGATCTCATATTGTGTCTATGTTAATGAGATTAGAAATATTGAAGGCCTGGGCCTTCGATGTGAATTGTTTTGATTTTGCTTTTGCTTAATATAAAACAGTACTGTTTAATTTTAAAAGATTTTGCGAAAGACTGTTTATATGAATGAGATACGGTGCGAAGGTTATAGTTAGAGCCAGATGGTCAAGAGAGAAGGAGGAGAATGCGGGGTAAAGACAAACTGTAAAAGACAGACTGCAAAGAAACATATCGGCATCAGAAAAACCATCAGTGCATACCCACGGTCAAGAACTAATCAGATTGGCAGAATTGATGGCTCTAACGGTAAAGGGCGGGCACCCCTAAAAACAACTGATTAACAATCCAGGACAGGATGAGCCTTCAAGAAATGTTTGGGAATGAATGACATTAACAAGATAACATTCTGGTCATAAGCGGCGAGGAGTCCTGTGGCACCTTATAGACTAACTGAAGTGGGTCAGAAGCGGATCTTTGCCCACGAAAGCTTATGCTCCTGCACTTCAGTTAGTCTATAAGGTGCCACAGGACTCCTCGCCGCTTATGACCAGAATGTTATCTTGTTAATGTCATTCATTCCCAAACATTTCTTGAAGGCTCATCCTGTCCTGGATTGTTAATCAGTTGTTTTTAGGGGTGCCCGCCCTTTACCGTTAGAGCCATCAATTCTGCCAATCTGATCAGTTCTTGACCGTGGGTATGCACTGATGGTTTTTCTGATGCCGATATGTTTCTTTGCAGTCTGTCTTTTACAGTTTGTCTTTACCCCGCATTCTCCTCCTTCTCTCTTGACCATCTGGCTCTAACTATAACCTTCGCACCGTATCTCATTCATATAAACAGTCTTTCGCAAAATCTTTTAAAATTAAACAGTACTGTTTTATATTAAGCAAAAGCAAAATCAAAACAATTCACATCGAAGGCCCAGGCCTTCAATATTTCTAATCTCATTAACATAGACACAATATGAGATCCTGTTTATTTACTTACTAAACTTTAGAACAAGGAAATATAGGAGATATATACTTAACTAAAGGATTTGACTTACTACAATATTAAATATATTACCTTACATTACTAAGCCTAAAATACAAATATAAAAAGGATAAAACTTTCAATCCTAACAGAGGATGGTGACATCCCAGGAGCAAGGCAATGTGTGGCCTGAACAGTGGGCCCTGCCTCAAAGGGGCCTTAAAGAGCTGAGGGGACCATGGTTACCACTCTATTGGTTTTAATTCCCTTTGCAAGGTCCAACTCTACCTGACTTTTAGCCTGTCTCACTTTGTCCCTACATGCTCTAACCTCAATAAGTTAGCTTTCTTTACTGACCATTTTCCACTCCTTATATGCTTTCTGCTTTTTCTTAATCACCTCTCTGAGATGCTTGCTCATCCAGGGCATCGCTATAAACAAGTGCTTGAAACTCCTTGTTAGCTGTGGCATGGTGTCAGGGCTTAGCTGTCTTTGTGAATTGCAACTGGTAGAAACATAGGTGCCTATGGAACATGGGTGCCTACAGGGTTAGGTAGCAACTTTTGGTGATTTTAAAAGCTTTAGTGGATGGACTTAGGTGTCGTGGCAGCCTGAGAGCTGGGGGCTGCTGAAGCCTAGTGGAAGGTAGATACACGGGGAGCTGGGTATGCAGTTTTATGTTCCTATTATAGGCTGCCAGAGACTGTAGCCCAACAGTTCAACACCTGACGCCTATCTGTCATCAGTCTAAAGAGAAGGCTAATCAGAACACCTGAGGCCAGTTAAGGCTGATGAGTGCACCATAAATAACCCTTCCTAAGGCAAGGGAGGGGGAAGGAGTAGAGGGATGGACCAGAGGAGAAGTAAAGGAGAGTGGGGCAGCCCAGCATAAGAGACTGACCTAAGGCATGGGGAGGAGGTACTCAGGAGGAGTTGGGGAAGTGGCCCAGGGAGGGGCCACTGTTCCATGGGGCAAGAGCCAGGCCTCACAATCCACTTGGGTCTACTCTCTCCATAGGGCCCTGGGCTGGAACCTGGAGCAAGTGGGTGGGACTGGGTTCCCCTAACCCCCTCTTGGCTGGTGGGCTGCCTGCAAGAAACAGGTGAGACCCTGTGGCCTAATGTAGGGGCTGACCTCCCATAGCCTGGTCTTGTCTATGATGAAAAGGGCTAAAAGTGGGGTACCCTTGCCTTTGTGGCAGTGTTAGGGGCACTGTGAGCCTGAGGCACGCAAAGAAAACCCAACCAAGAAGTGCAGAATCAAGAGGCTTAGCCTCAACCAGCCACTGTGCCTAAATATTTTTGAGGATCTGAACCTTATCCACTCCCTGCCTCAGTTTCCCTATCTATAAATATAAGGTAATACATCTCACCCACCTTTGTATGGTGCATTGATATTAGATGAAAAGCACTGTGGTGCTGTACAAAGAGACAGTGCTAAGCCTTTGCATCACCTTCAAAAACTGGATTTCACTCCATATCAGTTTACAGCATTGTTGTTCATTTTCTGTCTAATTCTAGCCATATTAATGATGAAACAGTGCTTCTGAAACACTCACTGTGCTTCTACTTGAACTTACATAGCTTAGGTACTATAAAGTTCAACTGGGGAATCAAAAATGTTTGACACTTATTAAGATTAAATACAATTTCATTTCAATCTGAAAGGAAATGATGGGTTGGATATATAAATGCCTGAATGCTCTGAACACAACCTGAATTAGAATTTTTACACCCATTCAATAGAAAGGGAAAGCGTATTCAACATAGAGCTGTAACTCAGGGTATGTTTACACTTGATTCCTCCTTCAAGGGAGGAATGCAAAGGTAGACATCTGAAATAGCAAATGAAGCAGGGATTAAAATATCCCATGCTTCATTTGCATAATTGTGGACTGCCACTTTTCTACAATAGTGCTATTTTGGGACACCAAACTCGGTCCCCACGGGGTTATTTCGAGAGAAAACCCTTCCCTTGAAATAAGCCTTACTCCTCAAAACACCCATTCTCTGTGCAAGTTTTCATTACACTTAGGCCTCTTTATAATGTTCAGTAATAGCAATTTATAGTCATCTCTGGCCCCTGCATACTACCAGAGTGTTGTAGAGGGGCCTTCGCTGTGAAGGAGAGTCAGGCCTTGCATCTCATATAAAATCTGTTACCAACCTTCAGGGTACATAGTAATTAGGCTACTTGGGAATTTTCTGTAAAGTTTTTGTTTTGCTTTTGCTTTGGTTTTAAGCAGATAATGCAGTTTCTCAGCAAATGAAGATTTTCTTATTTTCTGTCAGGAAAACCAAATTTAAATAGTGTGGGTTGCGTAGACTGGAAAAATAAACATTGGTTTGTCAACTGTTTCATATCAGCTCAGTTCAGCATTAATCTGCGTCCACCTGAGCTGCTGTAGTGTCTCGTGGAAGTTATAGCTGGAGTTCCTCATGCCCCTGTTGTTCTCTAAGGCCCTGGTTCCCTGGCTGCACTACAAGCCCCATGAGGAACCAATACAAGTATAGTACATTAGGGGAAAGGTAGTCCTGCTCAGCAGTCAATGCATTGAGGAGAATATATTGTTTATGATCATGACAGAGGCTAATAGAATCTTCATTACTCCAGTTTTGTGTGAGTGTAACTGCATCTCAGTGGAGCTATAGCAACATAAAACTGGAGTAGCATAGTGGGAATCAGATGCCATATATACATTGAACAAATATGAAAAATGGGAAACAGTAAAAATTTAAATTTGGTTCCCAGATAATGTGCAAACAGAGGGAAAGGCCTAAATTCATTGTATAAATCATTCGCAATGGGTAATTTGTTCAGCTTTATTCAAAACATAAACCAACAAAATACCCATTGACTTCCCAAGTTAGAACTTTGTCCTGGATTTTCTCCTGATGGGTCTAATAGTTGTCTTGCTCGAGAGAGCATGGTTAGTAGTATTAAAGGGTGCTGCTCTGGAGGACACTTATTGTCTGAGCTTTAAAACCCATCACGTACACCCAGGATGAGCCATCCCAGATGGACAATGAGGGACAACACAGACAGACCAGGCAGACCAATGAGGGACCAGGTCCGAGGAAGCACTGGCTGCTTTTACCTGATGTACTATGATCACTACTTTATTGTTTCAGAAAGACCACCGGACAGAAGAGTATCCAGGAAGGACTGCACCTCAGGGTTCCCTCCACCCATGGACTTATGAGCTATACCAGAGACAAAGACTTTGTTTTGATTTATGGGTGGTGCCTTCTAGGACATATCTAGATATGTTTTTAAATACCTCCCATCTATACCCAGGACAAAGAGGGCTACACCTATCATTTTAAACCTTGTTTGCTTTATTTTCCCTGTAACCCACCCTTGAGCCCCCAGATTCACTGCACCTTAACTTGTTCAATTTGTCTTTGCTTTCAATTTGTTTCAAACATTCACTTAAAACATTTTGCTATGCTATATAATAGTAATTAGTTTGCACTGCTTAGTCATACGTGTTATTATTGGCATAGGCCAGGGGAAGAGAACATAGACTAGGAGCTATAGACTAGGAGCTATATTGTTACTTCTTCATCTACTAAATGTACTTCTGGCATCCTGTCTGTTTCCTTTAACTGTAATTCATATTTTTTCTTCTCTCATCAGTAAAAAACAAACAAACCCTCTCACTCCCCCTGTACAGAGTGGGACGATCATGCTCTTGTTCAGACTTGGCTCTAATAGCCACTATGATTTGCAGCCTTTATATAATCAGCTAATTTAATGTAATTCCTACACTTTCAATCAAGCCTGGTGAGCAGATGGCAGAATTAAAGCCTGTAGGTTGTGTCTAATGATGAAGCCTGATTTCAAGATCTCACTCTTAGCCTCATGTTGTCAGAGTATTCTGATATTCCAGGCATAGATGCAACCAAATTAAAATAGGGGTGGGCCCGGGGAGCCCAGAAGAGAGAGAACATGAGTCTAACATCTTGATGAAATCCTCCTTTAAGAGAGAAGAGCCTTACAGAACTGAATAGAGATCAAAACCTACCTATAGCATTTGAACCTCTTTCTATAGACAGATGAGTTGGATGAGGAAATATCTTTTATTGGACCAGAATTTGTTGGTGAAAGAGACGAGCTCTTCTTCTGCACTGGTCCAAAGCTTCTGCACAGGTCCAAAGCTTATCTTTTTCGTCAACATATTTTGGTCCAATATAAGCTATTACCTCACCCACTTTGACTATTTATTATGCCGGGACTGGCACAGTTATTATATCCCTGCTAACTCCTTTATATTGTTTTTTAAATCACTTTATAAAAAGGGCAGAATTCTCAATTGAATTTCATAAGGGTGGCCTCAGAACTACATTTTCAAACTAAATTGTATAAGACTTTTCTATAGGGAATTAAACAGCTGTGACTGTGACTCACCCATGTGGACGTATCTGTAATTAACTCATACCAAGCTCTTTGCTGAAGAACTGATGCCACCTCTCCATGTGTATTTGTGTGGGTAGAGAACACTTTGAAGACACACAATGATATATAACAATGCCATAGATTTTCTAGTAGCAGCACAGAGCAATATATTTCATCTGGTAGCACTTTGGGTTAACTTAGACTGGTGTTGAAAGGCAGTTCGGGTAATAGGTTTTTAGGAATGCTTAGGATAAGATCTTAAACTTTAGCTTCTCTCTGTTTGCCACCTTGGAAGTCAGTTAAGAATCCCTGCTGGTCATAGGTTTGACCAACATTCATTTTCCCACTCAACAGATTTCACAGCTACATGGGTTACTGAGTCACACTACCCTACTAGCACCTCTGACACTGGGAGGATGATCTAAAAGCTAGGACAGGGTCAGGACCCCTGAGTTTGGTTCAAGCTCTGACACTGACAATTGTTTCCCTTTCCTATAAAATGGGGTTAACAATACTCAGAGGATAGTGTAAATCTCAACCCATTAATGTCAGAAGTGTTTTCAAAGCCTTGGATGAAAGGTGCTGTAGAATCCTGGAACTATTGTCAATGGTTTGTATTATAGTTGCCCTACATGTGGATGCACAGGATCAGAGTGTGAGAAGGAAGGGTAGGTACATATGAGGGCAGGGGAGGCAGCCCTGCATGCTGGGGAAGGCAGCTGCTGCTCTCTGATTAATTCCTTTAAAGAAGAGGGTGCCCAATGGGCAAAAGACAGGAAGAGAATAGATAGAATCATGGTAGCATCAGCATCCTTGCACCAGTCAATTGCACAGGAAGGACCTGCTCAGCCTCTATGAAATAACTTATACGAGACCCTGCATTGGGTATTGCCAGTCGGATTGCTTGATTGCTGCCTGACCATGCCCATCAAACACACAACGCCTCCCCTTTGCCTGGAGGCATGATCGCATATGGAGAAGGCAATTTGGACTCAGCAGTTACTGTGGCAGGAGGAAGCCCTACCTCTATCTATTTTTGAACATTGCTGTTTGGAAGTTTCCACAGCTTCACTCAAGAGGGTAATTATTCCAAATTGCAGAGGTGGGTGGATTAAGATTGTTTTATTAAAATAATTAATGTGTATCTTTTGGATGCTGGTCCTGGAGGCTGCCAGGTGTGTGGCTGTACTGCATATGCCATTAACAGGACCAGGACAGACACTAAGATGAGAAGGCACCTTATACCTAGACAGCTACCGAAGACAGAATCGGGACAAACCAGGCTGGCCAGTAGGGTAGAGTGAGAGGCTCTCTTTCCCCTTTGTATGAGCTCTTCTCCAGTCCTGACACTTGGGGAAGCACAGGGCTGACTCAAGCAATGGGCATATAGGTGGAGAGGGGTGAGCAAGCAGGGCCCCTTCAGCCCTGCAGAGAAAGCCCAGGCCCAGAGAAACAGTGCTTGAGAGAAGTGCCCTATGGGCACTATCCCTCTCAGAGCTCCCCCGGTGCCAGGTGTCCATGCTGCACTCCTTAGCGGCAGTTTGCTCTCAGCTCTTACAGGGATCAGGAGCATTATAAAATACCTAGACTTTTAGACAGACGTACATGCCAGGGGCTGCTTAGGCATAGTTACCAGATTTGCACATTTGATTTACCATCTGCCCGGACAAATTCATATTTGCATAGACAGCTGAGGGCTTTGTTGTGCCCCTGTGGTTGTTGAGTTGGCAGGCTTGGTGAGTGCAGTTTAAACTGCCTGTTTGCAACATGTTCTCCAAAATGCACAGTGAGGGTGGGCTAGGGCTTAATTGGCAAAAGGAAAGTGACAGGAAGGGGCATGGATGAATTTTTTGGCATTCACTATCTTGACGGGCCCTCTGTGTCTGTTGCTAAACCTCTGCTCTCCTGTGTGCTTGGTACAGTGGCTGTGAAATGTCCAGAGGGCCCCATTTGCATCTCTCTACACTTTCCCTCTGCAAGCTGTGGACATGCAAGATTAATTCCCAGCCTTGATTGTCAGCATCTCCGTGTGCAGGTTCATCAGGTGCAGCACTGACTTGGGCTTGTCTGAACCTTGATGATAAGCTCTCCTTGTTAAAAGCCATTATAGTTGCTTCTAGCTGAGTGTAATTCTGACTGACTGCTATAGTTCTCCTTTGCATGTAATTGAATTCATGTTCATCAGAAAGCAATGAAAAATAAATTGTGTGCGTGTTTTTTTCCCCTCATAAAGCAATGCATGACACTCACTCTGCCTTCCCTGTTATCTTCCCCTTTGCAACATATTGTAATAGAATTCATGGGAAAAGAACAGCTGAAATAGAATGTGCATTTCTGACTTGCCTAGCAGAAAGAGATCTATTTTGGTGCCAAGGAGGAATTGATTAATTTGTTGGCTGTTGGGGAAAATGAAATCTCAGGTATAAGAGCCTTCAAAAAACCGAAGAGTGATGCTTGTACAATTGCAGACTGACTAGGAGGGTGTAAGAGGGACCCAAACACTACATCAAAGGACATCTAAGAATGGGAAAATATACATCTAAACAAATGCTCAGAAACTTAATGTCACAATGTGAAACTTAATGTCACAATGTGTCAAGGTTTGCAAGTTCAAGATTTTATAGCACTGGCGCTGATAGAACACAGATTTTTCCATCGCATGAAAATGCTGATTAAAAGGTTACTCCTGAATTAAGATTAAATTTAAGACAAATTAAATTAAAATATGAAAAAATGTTTTGAATCAACAGAAAAATTTCACTTTGATTTCAACCTTTCTAAAATATAAAACAAAGTGAATTTTGAAATGAAAACATAGATTTTTTTTTGTTCTGAAAATGTCACAACAGGACCTTGAACCATTTTTTCCATTGTAAATGCAATTTTGTCCTTTATGCTCATTTGTTCAGTCTGTTGCTGGTCTAACCAGTTCCTGGTTATTGCCTATTTTGATTGACAACGTATCTGCATGTCTTGCCTCATTCCTTTGTGTATTTTGGGATTGCTGGTCTGGGGTGCATCAGAATATAGCACCATTTCGAGAGAGTGTGATAGTCAATGATTTTCCCAGTGAGAGCATGTGATCAATTTATACAATGGCAATATTGCATTTTCAGAGTTGTTTTCATTCACATTCTTTATATGTCCTCAGGGCTGGTCCTAACCAACTGATGGGCCCCCAGAGGACCAAAAATAATTTAAAAAAAAGGGACAAAAATTTGTCAAGCAAAAAAAAAAAAAAGGTGTCGGGGAGTAACCAGGGAGAGGGCTCAGGAGGTCAGGCCGAGATGTGGTTGCAGCCCACCCCTAAGTCCAGCTCTGTATATTCTAACATTTTGTTTGCAATTTTGATTCCCACTTAGCAGAGATTCTCTGAGCTGCCCACAATGGCACGCAATTCTTTCCTGTTGTTCCCTAAATAGTTAGTTATCTGTAATTTTAAATGCAGCAGTAAAGCTGGTCAAAATGTTTTCAGATGTAGAAAAAATAGGAAAGTGGGCTCAGATAAATTATTCTCAGGTTAGGTAGTGTTTGACCATTCCATTTTTTTTTAAATGGGGAAACGGCACTAGAACAATGTGTATTGTGGGTGTGTCGAGCCATTGAACCAAACTCTATATAATGGAGACCCCCAGCACCTATGGGGGAATCATGTTTTCATTGCAATTTTCCCCATTCCCGCTTTTCTTTCAACAAACTCTGCCTAGCAGTATTTCTGGGCAACACAATTGATCCTTTCTCGTGTGTTTCTCTCTGTTTTGTCAATGCTGAATTTCATCAGCTATCATGCTGCACATTCCCCTAACTTCAGTTGGTCCCACTGTAGTTTTCTGTTGTGTTCTCTAGGGCTCACTAACAAACCAAAGAAGTCTTGTCACTTAATGTGCAGTTGGGGAAAGCCTGGTGGAAGAGCTGCATCTCACGTGTGATGCAGAGGGTGACCCGCAGAGCTGCCTGTCACACAGGCTGATGTACAACAGCCTTACTTGCTAAAAAGTTACAAGGAAGCCATGGAGCACTGAGTCCTGGAGTGCAGTGAGTGGTAAAACAAGGTCACGTGGAGCCTGGCTGGATGTGCAGCACATTCTGTTAATTTGGATAATTTCTGTGACCTTGCTGAATGTGGCAAGCACGGCTGTATGAGGAGGGGCAGCAATCAAAATTGAAAAATGAGCCTGAAAGCAGGTTGGCCAGGCCTCCATGGCTGGGCTGATTAGATTTGATTGACAAGAGTAGGGGTGAACATAGGAAACGGCAGCATCATTTGAGAAAGGGCTTTGGTTTACAAAGGGTGCCTCGCCTGCCTAGCCATCCCATGTCACATTTGTGCAGCTGAGCATGCAGGGTCTAATCCCGCCATCCATACCCGGCTACTCTCTCCCTGACTTGGAGCTGTCTGTAATAATTTACGACTAATGCATAGTGACCAGGCTGTTGTGCTGTTTACTATGTTCAGCTATTGTGTTGATTCGCTGGTGGGTTTGGCAGGAAATGTAGCCTGGAAGGGAGCTGAAGGGTGGTAGTTAGTCACATATCCTGACACACACTTAGAGGCATACTGGATAATGTAGAGCAATTCCCTTAGACGCCTTGGCTCTGTTCCCTGGCTGGGCCTGCCAGATGGCTTTTTCCTAAGAGGGACTCCAGCCATGTGTAAAGAAGATAAAAATGCCCCCAGTAGGCTTAAAGGTGGACATAGTCCCTTGATAAGGGGTATGGATAGTTAAGGGAGAGAAATAGACCCAAGTCCTGCAGTTAGGGGTGTCTTGAAGAAGCAGAACTACCTATGTCTCCATTTCAGGATGGTCAGACCCCAAGTGAGACAAGCATTTTGTTGTTCTGAAACTTTTTCTCTTCTGCTTTGCAGTTGTTGTTAAGATAAAACAATAGTTTAGATTAAGGAGCCATTTTGGCTCACTGAAGTTACCACTAGCCTCCCGAAAGCACAGTCAAGTCAACTCTGCCGGATACGTGCAGTTGGTACACAGAATACCATAAGGTGGGGGAAAGTGTGGGATTCTACCCCACAGATATAAAGGATCAGGACTTAAAATCTTCAGGGGGTACACTAAGAGAGAAAGACCAAGAAAGGGTCAAACATGCACTTAGCACTGAACTATGACACCATGTAAAACCTATAGGATCCTGGTCATATTTCTCTAGCTATGTCCGATCTCTAGCTAATATATTATACAATAGAATATTGTATTGTACAGCACACAATACAATATAATCTGTATATAATTTTGTACCAGATCTTGCATTCATGATAATTGTCACCTAACCTTCTCAGACCATGGTTTACAGTCCAAACTACTACGTGGGGGCCAAACACTCAGCAGATGTAAATCATCATAGCCCTATTGAAGTAAATGAACTTGAACATCTGGTTCTGCAGGTGTTATGCTGCTTATGTTTAGACTTCTCTAAACTTAATTGTCTTGGTATGACTTGTTTCCGTAGGCATCAGGCATTTAATATAGGGAGAAAGAAAAGAAAAGATGACGTAGTGGCTCAGTTGGGAACAGAATGCAAGAATGATGAGTCTCAGCTTCCTGCATCCAGATCACAGACCAGAATGGAGAATTTTGGCCATTAGTCACCATTTGTTGCTTTTTCTTTTAGAGCATCACTTCCTTTTGGGCTTTGCTATATTCAGAAGCAGAGCTGTCCATGCCACCCAGTAAGAGTCAGGAGGTAGAAAATTGGAAGGTACATGATATTACCCTGAAAACACAACCTTCCCCTCCCCCGCCGGTTCCTTAGAAACTCAAGCAAATAGTGAAGTATAGCATGGTTGAAGAACTAAATGAGCACTCATTCTCAGATGCTTAAGCTGATTGCATCCATGATCCTCCTGGTCAGCCCATGAACACCACTTTCTTCTCACCTGATCCAGTTAATCATCACAGCCAATCAGCGCTATTGAACAGAGAGAGTAACACTATATTTCAAAGCACAATCACTGAGTCTTAGCTGACCCAGTGATAGCACTTATCTCTGCATGCACAGCAGAGTTACTTAAAGTTAAGATGCAGAATGTTTGTGTCATTGAATGGTGCACTAATGTGCGTGTGTGTGTGTGTATGACAATGTAACAAAAGTAAGTGCTGGAGGCAAGATGCATCAAAATAGAGAAATGTGCACTCCACTAGAGCTGCACGTATCTGAATGTGCATAAAGGTTTAGTCTGCTTTGCACACACTGTGACTTGCAGAATGTTTTTCCTTGTTGGGATTATTGCGAATGTGCCCTTTTATATGATTATGTCTGCATACCTAATTCATCATTTGTTCCCTATTTATATTCATGGGGTGTGACTGATCTTCTAATTTACATGATATAGTTTCTACTTTTTAATTGGATGACTGAATACTCTCAATAGGCGAACAAATAATAAATAGAGATTAATGAAACTTCATTATCTTCATTATCTGCTACCAATTTTTGGACTATTTGTACTAAAATTCCTGGTAGTTTAAGGCTGTGCAAATGTTTTCATGAACATCCTACACTTGTGCAAACAAAGCATGCTATGGCCCAACACCGCTGCACCCCAGCAAAGAATCATTCACATGTAGACATTATAGGCATGTCTACACTAGGAAATTATTTCAAAATAACTAAATTTGAAATAACTCCTGAAATAACAAAACTGAAATAGCATGTCCCCACTACAGTGGAGCCTTCAAAATTCGTCCGAGGCAGGCTCCATTAGGATACAGCTACACAATAGCATGTGTCTCAAAATAACCTATGCAATTTGAGCTACGCAAATAGCATAGCTTATTTCAAAACATCTTATTTCAAAATATTCTTATTGATAAACTAGGCAAATATAATTTAGATAGGGCCACGATAAGGTAGGTGCATAACTGGCTGGATAACTGTAGTCAGAGAGTTGTTGTTAACGGTGCTAAATCCTGCTGGAAAGGGATAACAAGTGGAGTTCCGCAAGGGTCTGTTTTGGGACCCGTACTGTTCAATATCTTCATCAATGATGTAGATATTGGGATAGAGAGTACGCTTATTAAGTTTGCAGATGATACCAAACTGGGTGGGATTGCAACTTCTTTGGAGGATAGGGACATAATTCAAAACGACCTTAGCAAGTTAGAGAAATGGTCAGAGGTAAACAGGATGAGGTTTAATAAAGAGAAATGCAAAGTGCTCCACTTAGGAAGGAACAATCAGTTCCATACATACAAGATGGGA